CTACATTTTCTCAGCGTTTTGGACTTATCGTACAATAATTTTACTGGAAAGATTCCTTTAAGCACTCAACTACAAAGCTTCAACTCCTCTGTATATGCTGGGAATAGCCAACTTTGTGGGCAGCCTCTGGCTAAGTGTCCAGGAGACATTTCTAATGGTTCTACTACTGATCACGAAGAGGGGAATAGTTTTGAAGAAGATGATGGGTTTATAACGCGTGACTTTTACGTCTGCATGGCATTTGGTTTCATTACTGGATTCTGGGTAGTTGTTACAACTCTAGTCCTCAAGCATTCTTGGAGGCATTCCTACTTCAACTGGTGGAACAACGTTGGGAACTGGATGTACGTGACAACAACAATCTATGTGACAAGATTCAAGAGAAAATTTCTGAAATGAAGGTAAACATTTAAATTTACTTGATCAATCTAATTGTTTAATATCCATATCTTGACTTCTTTAAATACTGAAATCAGAAGCCCCTTTCGGGAGACAAGAAAGTGTTGGCTGGAGAGGTGCAGGGACTACGGATGGCATTGTTTCTGCTCTAGTTAACGCCATTTTCTTATTTTCTAAGTATTTGTAAAATAATATCAATTCTCGAGTTCTCAACTCTATACGAATAACTAGCTTTGTTGTGCTAATCATTGAGGTCAAATTAAATTTTAATGCCTATCAAGTATATGGGTTGATTAATTAGTTGGTTTAGCTATTTTTATTCACGTAATTCACTTGTTTAATTTGTATGCATTAGACATCTCAAGTCACTCTAGATTCATCAATGCAAGATGCAATTAAGTAATTAATAAATTTTATACTCGACTACATGGTGGAAACTATCCGATTGTACGTTAATAAATTAGTATAGGGTTGGCTAACGCTGTAAGGAAAAATACTGAAATTTAAATTTATTCTTTGTCCTCACTTAGCCTTGACTGTTAATGAGAGTGTGTATATATTGCTCATTAAAATTGTATGTTCCTTAGACACAGTCTAGTACATCTAATCAAAGGTAAGAGATTGCTTCCAATCTCAATAAAGAAAATTACACAAATAGTTTCCATGTGAAAGTAGAAAATATCAAAAAACTGGAGATGACGAAGACTGGGCAGAACCTTGCCTCTGATCATGCGGCAAAGAATAGCCATGATGGGGGCGAATAGCAAGTTTGCTATGTCTAGAGACTAAGTATTAATCCCTTATAAGAGCAATAATAATCCCAAAAACAAGAACACGAGGAGCAAATACAAAATTATAGTTGTTTTCCCATAACGGATGTTTATGTACACCCCCTAAAACATGTGACGTATTTATTGATATTGAAGTATGAGGCTCAGCAGTGGAGATCGACTGACGGAATGAGGCTCATCGGGAGTAAGCAAATCGCTGATCACTGCTCTCTCCGAAATCATAATTGCCGGCGAATGATCTTGGGGACTCGGATTCCAGCCTGGGATAATTAAACGATGCTTTTTCCTCTTCAGGTAAGGAAATCTCGATTGATCTTCCATTGAACTGATACAAAAATCGGAGTTTTTACAAATCTGGTAAAGAAATCCAAAAATTTAAGTCCATCTCACGACGAATCTCTAAAGTTTCAAACAATTTTATGTTGGGACTTGCCCACTAATAAACGAGGTATAAACATTTAATGATTCTCAATAGATTTTGTATGCATGATTAGATGCTCTATAAATATTAAAAATTCTACTATTTTTTATATGTAACTTTAAATATTGTACATTAGTGCTATGTGATATTTAAAGGGAAATGATCTAAATTTGTCCATGATTTAAAATTAAAATAGGGATATCTAATTATGATTACTAGTGCGAATTTTGAATGAAATAATTTTATTCGGATTGTTAATAATGTGATTATTGGAATGAAAACACTTTACATATGCCTTTGTTTGATTCCCATAAAATTGTGCGGGAAAATTATAGTCTCTGATAACCTTACCAAACATGACCTTACAAAACAATATTAAAGGTGAAAAGCAAATTAAAATCTTATTCATTGTCTTGTCGAGTTGGTTCCAGTGGGCTATACCGTCAATTTTCTTGTACTAAATACTGGAAAGAGATTGCTTGTTTAGTCTGTAGATACAACTGATGGAGATTTATTGCTCAGAAAGATGCATCAAAATGGTTTGATCAACATAACGTGTTCAAAATAGAGGAATAAAAATTGATTACAAAAAGTGAGGACTAAGCTAAAAATAGTTTTCGACTTCAATCACTGAGAAGAGCTGATAATAATTTATTCAGTTTGGGATCAACGCTGTGCTTCGCTTTATCTTCATTCGATCTTGGAGCTGCCTGCAGCAAGTAGAACACGAATTAAATAATTCAGACAGCATGTAAAACGCACAGAGATATCAAATAAAACGGTTAGCCAGAGATACTGACCCAGGCTGCTAGACTCTGTTGGCCTTTGGGCATTGTGTGGTCTACCTGTTGGTAAATTATTTAATTTTCCATGATGGGCCGACATATGTAATTAACTGTGTATAAATGCTATCTTAAAGTTAAGCCCAATATTAAAGTGATCTAATAAAGAATTAAGTAATTGGGCTTTAAGCATCTAATTAAAGTGTGG